ACTCACACCTAGGGAGAATTTAGAGAGACCAATTAACCTGACAGTCATGTTTTTGGACTGTGGGAGGAAGTACCCAGAGAGAATCCATGCATGCACAGGGAGAAGATGCAAACTCCATGCAGACAGTCCCAGGCTGAGAATTGGACCCAGGACTTTCTTGCTGCAAAGGCAACAGCTCTACCATCTGCGCCATTGTGTGTGTGTTCTACTTTTACCCCTCAAATTATAACCATATTGTTATAGGCTATTCAGCCACATTTTTATACTGTTCAGTTAATATTCACCTAGTTGAACCACAAATCCATATCCTATCACACATAAAGCAGATGAACCCTTCTAAATTTTTCTCAGCAGCGACAAAAAACACTGACTATGGCCCCAATAACTTATAAATGAAATTAAACAAGTTCATTTAAATTATGAGCACATCAGCTGCTGGGATTTGAATACACAGTGCCTCACAAATTACTCCTGGTCCTCATCTGCGCCATTGTTCATCCCGATCAATTGAACTCTGCGAGCTATTTACCCTATGTGCTGACCGGTCATGCGCATTTAAGAGGTTTTTTTTCTTCTGTGGTTTTGCTTCCTCAAAACAGACAGATGTTACATGTACTGTGATCCTCTTGGACTTTGCGCTAAGACCACGGGAGGGTAACATCTTCCAGCTCTGTTTGTTAAAACCGGTGGGTGAGTTAAGTTTAAATCTTCGCAGAGGTGGAGCGGGTTAGGGTTAGGTTGTGCACAGATTGTGCACTGTGCATGTTATGGTCTAATTAACTTCTGCACCTTTATTTATTTCCTAAAGATAAACTGCTGGCTCCTCTGTTTAGATTATAAATAAATTAGCATAACATTTCATTCTCTTTATTTTTCTCTGTTCTGTATGTACTGGAGTCTGGAATTAAATGCGCCATTTCAACCACAGTTTGGAATGGACTTCCTGATACACTCCAAAGAGTCCGGTCCATAACTCTTCAACACACTGTCAGCTCCCGGTCAGAAAGACCCATTTAGTTCAGTATCTGTGAGATGATAATCAGAAAAGATTGATTTTAGTTAAATCTGCAATGTACTCTGTACGTAAAGTCTATAATGCCTGCCCACGTGCACCAGTCAAGGTTGTGAATTATAAAATGAGGACGAGCTTAAATTTTTTCCGTCATTAAAAAAAAGGTCAAATATTCCATTTGTATATATATATGTATATATATATATATATATATATATATATATATATATATATATATATATATATATATATTGCTAGGTTGCAAATGACGTAGTACTGACGTCACCCAATGCACATGGAGGGCAGGAAGTAAATGCAGCCCATTTATTTCTGTTAATCCAGCATCAAAATGTCTACAGTCTGTGTCCTGTATGGTTGTTCCAACCGTTCTAATAGAGAGAAAGATAAACGTAATTTTTGTGTTTCGACGGTAGTTAGTCACAAGGAAGTTAATTTAAAAAACTTACCGAATAAAGCTTAGAAAAGTGGATCAATAATCTACAGCTGAAAACAGGAAGTGTGAAAACTAACAATGCCAGAGTTTGCAGTGCCCGGTTTCTAACAGGTAATGATCGCATCGTTTAAATTGTATTTTCAGATATTTTATTGGACAGTTACTTAGAAAGACAAGCATTCATATGTAGGGTAAGATATATTTTTATGTCCTACCGTGGTTGTCCCCAGAGCGCTAATGTTGCTGGCAGCTAGCTCAGTGCCGAGTCACACACAGAAAATATAATGTTTTTTCAGTGGGACTTTCATGCTAAAAAAATAAAATAAAATAAAATAAATTAAAATTAAATATAAATTAAATTAATTAATTAAATATAACATACCCAGCCATACAGTCACTGTGAGCTGTTACTATTCCCCACATGCTTCATGTCTGGACATTGAACATGGGGTTTCTATAGATCGGTGCAAATGGTTGACCTACATTTGACCTGAATCCAGTGTCCTACAGCAACTCAACATTATTGTACAACTGCAGCATGACTTTGGGTTTACAGAAGCTAAATAAATGATTTACCAGGAGATCCAAGCTGATAACATGGGTTAGTTTGTTGTTCGTGATAGCATGTTATCATAGACTATTTCTTTAATAAAATAGCACAACTAGCTAACTCACCCGGCAGAAACAAGTCATCAGCCATTTAATGCTTCTTTTGATCCTAAATGCTTGACCCAACCTGAAACTAAATGACTGTATTTAGGTTCAGGTAGTATACAACGAGCCGGTGTCTTGCTCGTTGTTTTATATGAGGTCTGCAGCTCCAGGTAGTTAGTGATGTGAATCGCCTGACACCGGGTAAATCCTCAAGATTAGAAGAGAAGAAGAGAATATACGTGTATTTTTTCGAGATGCCTCATCTGTTCCAGCCTATTTAGGGCATTAGCATACTCGTTGTGATCCATTTTGCTTTGTTTTGAACCGGAGAAATCCCCTTCCGGCCCTCCGTCTGAATTTCACATGTCGTCCGGGTCACGTGTCTGAAACCCAGCAATATATATACATATTTATTTGTGTGTGTGTGTCCATATGTGCACACTTGAATGCACAAGTTTGCATCCCCCAAATAAAAACTTTGACATTTTTGTCACTATCTGAAGTTAAATCCAACCAAACTTTTTGTTTCAGATTCATTAGTAAAACAAAAATGACACCAGAGAACTTAGCAAGAATATTTTTGAAGAATTTTTTTGTAACTTTCTTCAAATGATTGTCTTTGAAATAGTATGTCTTCAGTCAAACATTTTGGATTACCTTCCGCAAACTTTTCACAAGTTTGCTGGAGTTTTGGCCCTTTCCTTCTGATAAAACTTTAGGTTTCTAGACCACCTCACTATGCCTTTTCAGTTCTTCTCACTACTTTTCAATAGGCTTGAGATCGGGCCATTGTGATATAAAGCTTTTTTCCACAATGTCCTATTGGGGTGCTATGACAATACCCTACTATTGTCATAATAATGACAATAATTACTCTATAATTATTGTCATTATTATGGCATAATTATGGCTATGCCTTAATTATGACAATAATTATTGTCATTATTGTCATTAACGCTATGCCTTATGTTGTACTGCCATACAACACAAGGTATAGCATTTGTGTTGGCTTGGCCATCACAAAGACCACACAAGAAAATGGACTTTCTTGTCTTTAAGCCACTTTATGACAATTTTGACTACATGCGTAAGGTCATTTTCTGTTTGGAAAACCAACCTATGGTCAAGCCTGTGCCTTTATGACTGATGTCTTTAGATGTTACTTTAATATTTCTATATAATATTCTTTTCTCATGATGCCAGTTCCTCCTTTCCCTCATACTTAGGATGGTACAAGCATCCCTGTTTTTCCTCCAAATGTAACAATGGTCATTGTGGCCAAATAGTTCCACTGTAGTTTCATCAGACCACAGAACATGTCTTCAAAAATGAAGGTCTTTGTCCCTGTGTGCATTTATAAACTGCAATCAGGCTTTTGAAGTAAAGGCTTTTTCTTGCCTCTTTTGAGATAAGACACATTTCAATATGGATAATGACAATGTCTTACCAGCTTCAGCCAGCATCTTCACAAGGTATTTGGTTTTTGGTCTGGGGTCAATCTGCACATTTTGGACCAAAATAATTTATTTTCCAGCAGCCATGGTACAGTGTGCTGGAGTTCCACTTGTGTTGCTACAGGTCAGTGTTTCCCAACCCTGGTCCTCAAGGAATGCTGCCCTGCATATTTTACATGTTTCCCTGCTTTAACACACCTGATTCAGCTGATTGCAGTTCAGCAATTGCCTGTTAACCTGCCATCAATTCAAATCAGCTGGGCTGAACATGGAACACCTAAAACTTGCAGGGCAGTAAATACTGCTACTGGTGATGGGCCAAACTTCGCTGGCATGACTAGCTGGGCTTTGCTAGGGTTACTAAGTGAGGCACAGTGATTTGTGACATTACAGCCAGAAGGTTTTTGAAACAGCACATTTTCCAGACACAAAAATACATTAACTTAAACCGGCCGAAAACAAGAAAAGCTTTCTCTGATTTAACTTCAGAAAGTGAGAAAATGGTGAGGTCATTGTCTTTTTATTTATTTATATATCACTTCCTGATATATAAATATATGTAACCAGTTGATTGTCTGAAATGTGGTGTTCTTACTCCTTTAGCCTGAGGAGAAGAATAAATTTGACGGGATTTTTGAAAGTCTGGCACCTGTCAACGGCCTTCTGTCAGGAGAGAAGGTCAGACCAGTCCTCATCAATTCCAAACTACCTCTAGATGTCCTTGGCAAGGTATATATGGCAATTCTGAATAGCTTTAGTTCTAATCTATTTGGAGTGTCCATTCTATGCAAAGACATGTTTAAAAGTCACAATCAAGGTGGAAGCCCATCCCTCGGAGCGTGGAAGCAGCAGCTTGAAGACTCTCCATACTTCATCGGAAGCATCAAAATTGACTCTTGTTGATATAACGATGGGACAAAAATTGTGTCGTCATGCTTTGTCCTCTCCATCTTGACACGTGTCGAGATGGGGAAGTCGAGATGTATTGTTGGAAATGTATATATTTTTTAGGTTTTTAGCTTCTGTCTTTTTTCCAACAAGGCCTAGCTTCTGTCTTGTGAACCTTTGTCACGGAGCTGTCTATGATCCCTGATCTTTAGTTGACTGAGGGAGAGTAACAGAGGCTAAAAACTTGATTTTGGTAAAACCACAAGCAGCATTTCCACTGAAAAGTATACACAATTGTCATTTTCTGTTCCTTTAACAAAAAGTCTCACACTCTGACCCTAATTGTGATGGACTGAATTGAAAACAGGAGGAGTCAGGAAATATTAGAAAATATATATATATATTTTTTTTATTTTTATTTTAGCACAAAACACATATGAGGAAAATATATCTGAGCTCATAAGAGGTCAAAGAAACAAAACTGAACTCAGGCAAACATGCAAACAAACTGGCTGCACAAACAACTGACCTAACAAAGAAATGAGACTCGGGGGTATATCTATTGGCTGATCAGATCATGAAGACACAATAGGGGTAGATAAACATAATACAATCACTAACAAAAAGTTACAGTACAACTATGTTTGTCTAAACAAAACATCCAAAAATAAAGAAAGAAATTGTGCAAAAAAAGAGTTACCGACTTAAGAATGTGGCCATGGGTTTTGGCCATCACACTAACCTTATGTTAGTTGTTTCCCAGCTAAGTGTTGAAAGCATTTGTCTTTAATGTATTAATGATATTAAAGGCTAAAAATAAAATATAAAAATAAAAATTACCTTATTTTGCTGTAGATGTACAGTGGGGAAAAAAAGTAATTAGTCAGCCACGAGTTGTGCAAGTTCTCTCAGTTAAAAAGCTGAGAGAGGCCTGTAATTGACATCATAAATATGCCTCAACTATGAGAGAAAAAATGAGAAAACATGTCTAGAAAATCACATTTTCTGAATTTTTTAAAGAATTTATTTGAAAATTATGGGGGAAAATAAATACTTCATCTCAATACTTTGTTTTATGTCCTTTGATGGCAATGACAGTGTCATGTTCATTGGGAGTCGTTAAATTCACATGCAGAATCACACAGCAGACACCAGAATGATAATGCAAATATCCTTTATGGTAACACTTTATTTGAAGGGGTGTGCATAAGACTGACATGACACTGTCATCAACATTGACATAACATCTGTCATGAACATAAAGTCTTTATGAATGTCTATGACTGTTGTCATGAAGTGTCATTTGGTAAATAATGACACTTTTAATGCAAAGTTGCTATAAAAGTTGCCTTGAAAGTCCATTAAAAGTCCCAACTTTGCACTATTTTGTAATGACACTTTAATGCAACGTTAGCACTATTAATGGACTTTCAAGGCAACTTTTAAAGCAATTTGCATTAAAAGTGTCATTATTTACCGAATGACACTTCATGACAACATTCATAAAGACTCCTTAATATTCATGACAGATAAAACAAAAACGGGAGCACAATAACAACGAGACAAGATGCAGGAGCCAGAGTTCGTATTCACATTCTTATAGTCAATTCAGTTAATTTAAAATGACCCTGAGCAATAATCTGTGTGGAAACATTTCTACATTCGCTGCACACCAAACAAGAGAAAAGATTCGGTGCTACCTGTTCCACATTATTGGTGTTATTTCATTGTTTATGACAGTGTCATGTCAGTCTTATGCACACCCCGTCAAATAAAGTGATACCTAGTTTATTTACAATATGTACAAAGAAAATGTTCAGCACAGAAGCCTTCAGGGAGGGATCTGGATTCAGTGGGGCCTGGAGAGAACACTGGGTAAATATTGGCAGGGTGAAGATGAGTATCCTTTTAAAGGTGAAATCAAAAGTTATCTTATGGTTCTGGGGTGAGTCATGGGTGTTGGAGGGATGTTGGATTCTGCTGGTGAGATCAGTCTGGGTTTCAATAGTCCTGAGGGTTTGACTTGAAGGAGATTTGAACCAGGAGTTGCTTGCAGGATCTTTTCGTGGAAGAGCAGGCAGGCAGGTATCACTGAGGCTGGATTGAAGGGAGCATTCATCTACAAGGGTCTTCAGTGCTTTCAGTCCAGAGAGTTTCAGAAGGTTCCACTTACCTGAGAATATTCTCAGGTAAGTGGACAGCCACCTGAAGACACACAGGTAAAATAACTTTGTAAAACACAGAGAGAATCTTAGATCTCAGAGGGCTTGAGACTACCAGATTGATTAATCATCAGGCATCAAATGCTTTTCCAACCCTTCCTTATATCCAGCAGCCTGCTGATGAGCCAACTGTCCACAGCTGGCTGCAGCAGCTCCTGCAACAAAAATCCTAAGGGGAACAAGAGGTCTCACAAGTACACACAAACACTCATGCAACAGAACCCAACACTACCCCCCCTCAACAGCCGCCACCTGGCAGCCAAGCCGAACAAGATGGCTGAGACACCTCAAAGTCTTCAATAAGGGAAGGATTCAAAATAAATGAACGAGGAACCCAAAAGTGTTCCTCAGGACCGTATCCCTCCAAGTTTCACTAAATATTGGAAGCCCCTGGCCCAACGGCATACATCCAAAATCTTCTGGACCAGGTAAGCCGGATGTCCGTCGATATTCAATGTTAATGGAGGAGGTCTGGAAGGGGGACATAAGGGACTGATAGCCACAGGTTTGAGCAAAGAGACATGGAAGACAGGATGAATCTGCAGGCCATCAGGGAGTTTAAGGTGAACAGAGATGGGGCTGAGATTGACTTTCAAAGGGACCAATAAACCTGGGCAAAAGCTTCCTCGAAGATACTTTGAGGTGAATGTCCCTGGAGGAAAGCCATACCTTTTGTCCAGGTTGATACACAGATGCAGGAATCCTTTGCGGTCAGCCAGGCGGAAATTCTGAACAGAAGTGCAGTCTAGAGTGGCAGAGACATTCTTCCCTGTGTGCCTACATTTGTGGATGAAATGACGAACATAGGTGGCAGACAACTCTTTTTCCATCAGCGGGAAACAATGGTGGATGATACCCCAATGAGGCTTCAAAAGGGGAGAAGCCAGTTGCTGAGGAGACATGAGTATTGTGCGCATATTCCACCTACATAAGTTGTGAGCTCCAGGAGGACGGGTTGGAAGCACACAGACAACGCAATGTACATTCAAGCTCTTGGTTGATCCTCTCGGTTTGGCCATTGGTTTGAGGATGAAAACTCAGGACCACTTTGGCACCAAGGGCATTGCAAAATTCCTTCCATAAATTGGAGGTGAACTGGGGGCCCTTGTCCCAGAGAACTTCACATGGAATGCCATGAAAACGTGTGTCAAGAGGAGTTCAGCTTTCTCAAAGGAGGATGGCAACTTCCGGAGTGAAACCAGGTGACAGGCCTTAGAAAAGAGATCTTCAATGGTGAGGATGGTGGAAAAGCCCTTAGAGACCGGAAGGCTCGTAACAAAATCAAGGGCCACATGAGACCAGGGGCGTTTGGGTATAGGAAGGGAGTGAAGAAGGACACTCGAAGGCTGGCGAGTGTTTCTGGTACAGATGGGACAGGCCAAAATGTACTCTTTGACATCTTTGTACAAGGAGGGCCACCAGAACTTTTGTCTGATTAGGGTCACCATATCCTAATCAGGTATGACTAGGGTATACCTGATTAGGGTTCCTAGGTGGCATGAAAATCTAGCCGTATGGGCCCAATGAAGCAGAAGAGACCGGACCGAGGAAGGAACATAGGTCTTCTCGGGAGGACCAAACCCAGGATCAGGTTCCTGTTGTTGGATGGCTAATACCTGGTCCATGATCTCCCAAGTGAGGGCCCCCACAAACACGATGTAGGAACAATAGTGCTGAAGGTGGGATCATCATTTTGGGAAAACTGACGTGATAGCGCATCAGGTTTGGTACCTAAAGGATATTTTTGGAATATTTCTTGGTTAAGATGTCACCAGTCTGATTACTTACCTCTAAGTGTTGGGAACTGGGGTTTTGGCTGTTTGTGGAGATTTTCTGTTTGCCTGCTGCTTCCCTCGTCATCCACTAAATGGTGCCTGGAGGCCGTGCCTGCTGTCCGGATTCAGCGCACCTGTGAGCAATCACCTTGTCTTCTAGGAGCATATGAGGAGCGGGCTGTCAGCACTTCGACACCTCAGTTTTTGCCAGTTATGGTACTCTGAGCCCCTCTGAGTCTGCTCTCTGAGTTTTCTAAGATTATCTTGAGTGATAATTTCCTGTTGCATCTTGCTCAGTTGTTTCCTCGTGGCACCTTGGATTCAACCCACTGTGTAGCCCAAGTTCCTGACTTTCTGGTTTCCCCTCGTAACACGTAGATCTTACCTACTGGTTGCCCAAGTCCCTCTCCACCTCAGCTGTAGAATCATTGACAGTTCCTGGTTTCTCGGCTGGCTATTGGGACTGCTCCTTGCATCTTCCATCTCCCTCCAAAGAATTCTCCGTAAAGATCAATCACACTGGAACTTGGATTATCTCAAGAACCCCCTGCAAAGAGATCACAACCCCCAACCCCAGAGACCAGAGTACTTCTCCCCCTGGTGGAAACTAACCACTTCATCAAGTAAGGTAATTCCAGTTCCTCATAATTCAACTTATCCAACTTGCCATCAATCTCAACATCTCTCTCTCCTATTGTCTTCAGAGTTCAGATGACCTCAGCTTCCCATCCACAGGACAAGAATCGCACAATCTCATATTTCATCATTGTTGAAATAAACTTTCATTTGATTTCCTTTTCTCCTGATTGTGTTCTGTATGTGGGCTAAGACGTGAACCCAACATGACAGAAAGTCTCTTTTTTAATTTAATTTTATTTTTTTTTACATTTTTACAGTGTTGCTTTCAACAGATTTTAATCCCGGGCCTGACTGTCTCTCTCCTCCTGTTTATTTCACATCATTAGGTTTGGGATTTGAGTGACATTGATAAAGATGGCCATCTGGACAAGGACGAGTTTGCAGTGGTGAGTTTTATTGATGTCCTTGTTAACTTGCAAACAGTAATTATGATAGGAACGATGGCGGCAAGGGTAGTAGGAGTTTGTCCCTCAATTAGTGAGTTGCTGGTTCGATTTCTGTTCTCCTGTCGTTGTGTCCTTGGTCAAAACACTTTCATGCACCTGGCCTTTCTGGGGGTCAGAAGGACCAATGGCACAAAATAGCTTCTGTCAGACTGCAACAGGGCAGCTGTGGCTACTATTAAGTAGCTTGCCATCATCAGTGTGTGAATGTGCCCTTTGAGATCTTTTTGATATAAAAAGGGCATTATAAATAAAATCGATGTTTCATGTTTCTTCAGAACTTTTAGAAGGGGGAAACGGCGGAGTGAGTAAAAATGGCCGGTATGTCCTCTAGCAGTCATATCTGTGACACAATGACTACAGAGCCAGTTCAGGATAACCCAAGCTACTCTAACAATAAGCTTTATCAAAAAGTATCAAAGTGTTTAATCCCAGTTAAGGTAGTCAGAGTGTCTGTGGTCTTATATACAGACATTTTGACAGCTCTAAAGGTTTTTTTGATACTTGTGCCTATGTGTAGATTTGACGCATTTTCTGATGTCTGTGGAGCATTTGCTGTTTCAGAAAAGCTCTTTATGCAACTATTAAAGCAGATTATGTTCTTTCAGGCCATGCACCTTGTGTATCGGGCCTTAGAGAAGGAGCCGATTCCCGCACTCCTCCCCTCTGCCCTCATCCCTCCATCAAAGAGGAAGAAGAGCCTCTGCTCAGTGCCAGGTCCTGTTCCTGGACTACCAGCCAGCCCCCCACCACTAAAAGACTCACTACATTCCACACCCTCCCATGGCAGCATGACATCACTCAACAGCACCGGCAGCCTGTCACCCAAACACACTCTCAAGTCAGGACCGGTAATAAACTCTCTCACACTAATGTACTAATACTAGGCACCATAGCAAGTAAATGTACATCAAGTTTTGTTCAGTCGAACAAAGAGAAACAAAAACTTTTGTGCATTATATAAAAGACCATGTTGTGTTGCATTATATCTTTCAGTGAAGATTGTAAACGAGAGCAAATTAAGCCCATTACAGAATAAAAGCAAGCAGATGGTATTTTATTATTTATTACGCTACATTTTTTAAGTGCAAATTGAAGACTGTCTGTAAAAGGTGCCATGCAACAAATCCAACTATGCCTCCATCATGCTATTGAAATCTCAGTTTGTCTGTTGTATAAAGCTATGCAGCCTTAAGTAAAAAATGCCACTGAGTTGTTTGTGGAACTACAGTGATCCCTCACTATAACGCGGTTCACCTTTCATGGTCTCGCTGCTTCGCGGATTTTTTTTGTGCAGGTTTTTTCACAGTGCATTGTGTTCTGCGTCCTGATTGGCTGAAATATACGTAATACAGATTAGCCATTCAGGAGATGGAAACTGAAACTTTGAATGCCTGCTGAAAAAAACTGTGGCCGGAGGCTCTGCCGTAGATACAGCTGTGAATCTTGCAAAGCAGCTTGGAGGAGACGCTTTAATGACACGACACCAGATCACAGTAATGCCGTGATTGATGCACATCCGCTGATCTGAAAACAGGTTTTGTTCTTTGTTTTCAATGTAGAGTATTTAATTATGTTGTGTAATAGTTGTAAAAAAATAAAGGTAACTACTTCGCGGATTTCACTTATCGTGGGTTATTTTCGGAACGCAACCCCTCCCCCCGAAAAACGAGGGATCACTGTATATTGCCTGAAACTACCTTGGTCAAACTTCCAGAAATGAACTGCAACAAACAATCTGTCAAATGGATCAGAAAGTGCAATTAAGAATGCTAAATGTAATGTAAAATAAATAATAACCGGGAAAGAGGGAGAATTAATACTTCTTCAAACATTGCAAATTACAGAAACAAAAATCCTCTTCTGGACCACGATATAAAAAACATCCACCCATTTCTATAAATTGTATTTATTTACTGTATTCGCGATTAAATAATTTTAAATGAAATAAAAATAATAATAACTGTTGATGTGTGAGCAGAGCATTATGCCATGAAGGATTAAGGCAGTTCTGAAGCCAAAAGGGGATCCAACCTAGTACTAGCAAGATTAACCTAATAAAGCGGCTGGTGAGTGTATTACTGGCATAATAATCAACTCTAGCTGCGTAACCTTTGCCGCAGCTAGACAGGCAGCAGCCAGTGTTAGATTTTCAAAGTAAAGTAAAATTTAATGTCTCATGACATTAAAATTTATTTCAAACTCTGATTATGGTAAGTAAAAGTGCACAAAGGACTTTTACTACTGTATATTTATGTATACATATATTTGCCACTATTGTATATTTATGTATACATATATTTGCCACTATTGTATATTTATTAGTGATTGCTGTGGTAAGAGGAGAAAACTATAAATATATCGCTGCACTTGACTTTACTGCATGGCTAGCTGCTAGCTCGCTGTTACTGTCTTACTCTGCAATTGTGGAGTCATAATGTCTGGAATCATGAGCGCCCCCTGCCTTTAGGCAAAGAACTGTCTTCCTCACCTCGAATCTGTTCTGCTCGCTACAGCTCGCTGCTGCATCACCGGCTTTGCTTCAAACATTTAGCGATTTTGAAGAAAAAATAATCAGAATTGGTTAAGTTAAATGAAAAATAGGTACTTTTTAGTACAAACCACAGGGTGAAAATAGCAATATAAATTATTTTATCATTATATATTATTTTAACACAATGACCGGTGGCTCCCCTGACCGCAGGTCACTGGGATGCAGGTAATGTTAGCTAAATGATGACTAGCTAATATCAACACAGCACCTTAAGCTTAACAAGTAGCCCCTAGGCTACTGACAATGTTGTCTATGTTCAGCTACTTCAATTCATTTTGCCCCCAAAATAAGTCGATCACTCCCCACTCCCCCCACCACTCACACACATCATTCAACCAGGTAGCCTCTCCATTTTGGTAATCCACAGTGGGGGCCCAGGAGAAAAAGTTTGGGAACCACTGCACTACAAGATGATCGGTTACGAAATCACCAGTGACAATCTTAGATCGGCCAATGTTCTAAGATTGTCGTAAGGGGAAAATTGGGGCAAAAAATTGTGTAGTGTGAACTACTGCATTAGGTAGTCGGATGTGCCCATCTTCTCTATTTTAAATCTAGTGATTACCGAAGGGCAATACAGTATACAGACTTCATAATCTGCACTCTTTTGGTTGAATGCAGTATTTATTTCCACTTATGTTGTTTAGTTATTATTCAAGTGTTTTTTGTTAATGGAGACTGAGAATCCATTTTATTTTTGCTTGTTTTGTTTATTTAGTTTATCAGTTCCAGTGTTATGTGTTCTTTTGAAAATAAAGTGCATCTATCTATGGCAGGAAATTGCATGCTTTATTAGTCATTTCCATTAAATCAGTATCAAAAGGTCTTGAAACAATATTATCGTTTATCGCAATAATTTTTTAGACAATGATAATCGCTCAGCAAAATTTGTTATCGTGACGGGCCTATTTCCAACAGTTATTCAAAATGTCTGACCAGTCTTCAATGTGAATTTGGTGGCTCCCTTGTAGCTCATTATACATTTTGGATGTTAATTTATTAACAGAGGTTGATTGATACGATTTTAGAAAAATATTTATTCTTTTATTAAGGTCTTTTATTAAGTCTATATTTCCAATTGCTGCTTGCAAGGGGACACCATTGTTTGTACATTCAATCTCCTTTCATTTTGCTGTGTAGGAGGAGTCACACATCTCCACCAGTGGATTTATTTGCATTGCTTTGTAATAGTTACTCATGTTTGGGAGTGAAAGGCCTCTTTTATTTTTACTTGGCTGTAAAGTTTAAAATCTAGTGCTTGGCTGTTTCCCTTGCCAAATAAATCTTGAAATCAGTTTGTTGATTTCTTGGAACATAGATTTGGCTGGTTCTGCTGGTAGTGTCTGAATAAAGTATAGTAGTTTTGGCAACATCATCATTTTGATAGCTTCTACTCTTTGCATGAGGCCCAGATAGGGCAATAGGCTCCATCATTTTTTATTTTAGTCATTAATGGGTCATAATTTGCTGAGACAACATTACTTGGGTCTTTAGGAATGGTCACTCCCAAGTATACAATTGAATCCTTGTCCCAATTTATTTTGAAGTTTTCATTGTCAATATTGTCGGGTGAATATTTGAATGTCAAGACCTGAGATTTGTGGGAGTTTAGTTTGTAACTTTAAAATTGCCAGGTAGATTAAAATATCATCCACAAATGGCACTAATTTTTGTTCATTATGGTTTATCTTTCTGCCATGTATTTTGTTTTTTTGTCTAATCCATTGTGCTAAAGATTCAATAAATTTGGCGAATAGTAATGGGGACATGGAACATCCTTGTCTGCACCCTTGCTCAATTTTTATTTCTTCTGATAACGCCCCATTAATCCGAATCTTACCTGTAGGCTTATTGTACAGTTCCTGAATTGTCTTTATAAATTTATTGGAAAAGTTTAATTATGACAAGACTCTGAATAAGAATAAAAAGTGTTCTACAGTGTTGAACGCTTTTTGTGCATCTAGGCCCAGTATAATTGCTTGTTCATCTGTCTTCTTCATGTGGTTGATCACGTTTAGGGTTCTTCTAATATTGTACCTGGTTCGTCTGTTCTTTATAAACCCTCTCTGGTCTAAATTTATTATATCTAATGGATATACTCTAATCTTTTGGCTAATGTGAATGGAAATATTTTATAATCTTGATTAAGTAGACTTATCGGGCGGTAGTTTGAACAATTTAGTTTGTCTTTACCTTCTTTTGGGATAACTGTTATCATTGTTTCCCTCCAGGAGGGTTGAATTTGTCCCCTATTTAGAACCCAGTTAAATGTTCTCAAAAGAACAGGAGAAAGTTCTTTTAAATAGATCTTGTACCAATCAGCATTGAATCCATCTGGTCCTGGTGATTTGTTAAGTTTTTATTTATTGCTTTTTCAATTTCTTGGGTTGATATATTTTTG